CCCATGAGGGTTCAGATAATATGAAAGAGCAGAGAGAGACAGGAAACGATAGAGCTGCATGCAGCAGCAGTGACGCTCCTGCTGCTGCTGCTGCTGCTGCTGCTGCTGCTGCTGCGCCTGCAGCTGTAATGCGAGCACCTGCAGCACCAGCACCAGCAGGAGCAACAGCAGCAGCAGCAGCAGCAGCAGCAGCAACAGCAGCAGCAACATCTCGCCGTATGGCCCTTTCAGAGGCAGCAGCAGCATTGGGGAGGTGGCTACCCTTTCGCAGCAGTACTCGGATGCAGCAGCAGCAGCAGCAGCCGCAGCAGCAGCAGCAGCAGCAGCAGCAACAGCTGCTGCTGCATTCGACACGAACCCAAAGAGTAAACCAGCTGGATGCGTTACGAGTGAACAATGAGATTGTGCTGCTGCTGCAGGACCTGCTGCTGCAGTGTACACGGGTTGCTGCTCCTTGGCTGCAGCAGCAGCAGCAAGAGCTGCAGCTGCTGCTGCATCTGTTTATTTGGGGTGTATCTACAGCTCGGAATAAACCCACACCAGGAGACTTACTACAGAATATAAAATACTATGGGGGGGAGCAGCTGCAGCAGCAGGAGCTGCAGCAGCAGCAGCTGCTGCTGCAGCAGATGCAGCAAGACCCTAAATCTACGCCTGCTGCAGTGCAGCAGCAGCAGCGTGTGTTGCTGCACCTGATGATGAAGCAGCAGCACTCGCTGCTGCAGCAGCAGCCACTACCCTGGAAACATAAACTAGGGTTGCTGCTGCTGCATGTGCTGCTGCCGTATATATATCAGCTGCTGCGGCAGCAGCTACACAGCAGGTGGCAGCAGCAGCAAGCAGCAATACAGCAGCGCATCAGACGCTACAACGTTGCTCAAGCCCTTCGCCGGCAGCGTGCGCAGCAGCAGCAGCAGCAGCAGCAGCAACAGCAGCAGCAGCAGCAGCAACAGCAGCAGCAGCAGCAGCAACAGCAGCAGCAGCAGCAGCAGCAGCAGCTTGGAGAGCATGCAACGGAGCAAGGTCAGAGGGAGCTCAACCAGCAGCAGCAGCAGCAGCAGCAGCAGCAGCAGAAGCTGCGTGTACTAGAGGCTGCTGCAGCAGAGAGTGTGGGGCGTTTGAGTGGGTATGAGTATACGTTGGAGTGTATATACAGGTTGTTTATGTTAACTGATGTTTTGCTTTCTATATTTAATTTATTTTATTTTTTTTATTTTCTTTATAAAGGTAAATATCGTAGTATAGGGGACTGGCTGCTGGGGCTACAGATGCAGCATATATATCCTTCTCTGCGTCGTTCTCTTTCTTTTGAGCTGCTGCAGCAGCAGCTGTACTGGTTGAGTGTTTCTCAGGTGCTGCTGCTGCTGCTGCCGCACATTGACTTGCTGCTGCTGCGCCGCCTGCTGCAGCTGCGGCTGCTCGCGCCTGCTCGTCGTGTTGCTGCTGCGTCTATACAGCAGTTCAAGTTGCTGCTGCGAAAGCAGCAGCAGCAGCAAGAGCAGCAGCAGAAAGGGCAGCAGCAGCAGCAGAATGAGAGTGAAACGGAGGATAAGGGACTTGCTGCTGCTGCTGCTGCTGCTGCTGCTGCTGGCCTGCTGCTGCTGCGCAGCACCAAGCAGCAAGCAGAGAAACTCCTCCAAAACGTGGGGCTGATGCCGCACCCTCTGGCGATAGAAACGCAGCAGCAGCAGCAGCAGCAGCAGCAGCAACAGCAGCAGCAGCAGCAGCAGCAGCAGCAGCAAGGAGTGGAGTCGTCAGACAGGAAACTGATGCTCGAGGCAAGCAGCTGAGCTGTAATATATTTTTTATATAATAAAATAAAATAAAATAAAATAAAATAAAATAAAATAAAATAAAATATTTATTTATATATTATTATAATAAATAATAATTAAATATATTATTTTTTTATAATAAAATAAAATAATATATTTAATTATATATATATTATAATATATAATATTTTCTTTTTTTTTTCTTTTTTTTTGTTATTTGTTTCTTTTCTTTCTCTGTCTTTGTTTTTTTTTCTCTGTCTCTCAATGCGTATTTGTCTCTTCTCTCTGTCTCCTCTTTCTCTCTCTCTTTATCTCTCTATCTCTTTCTCTCTTTCTCTCTTTCTTTCTCTTTCTCTTTTTCTTTTCTTTGTTTGTGTTTTGTCTTTGTTTTTATTTTTGTTTGTCTTTTTGTTTTTCTCTCTGCTTCCTCTTCTTGCTGCTGTATTCTGCTGCTCTGGGGTTATGATGCGGCCTCTTCTTTCTTGTTCTGCTGCTGCTGTTGCTGTTGCTGCTGCTGCTGTTGCTGCTGCTGCTGCTGCTGCTGCTGCTGCTGCTGCTGTTGCTGCTGCTGTTGCTGCTGCTGCTGCTGCCTCTTCTTTTGTTTCGCAGTCTTCAATGAAGCTATCAGAAACATCAGCAGCAACACCAACAGCAGCAGAAACACCAGCAGCAGCAGCAGCAGCAGCAGCAGCAGCAGCAGAGCTGTCTCCTACAGGATCATCCCTATCTCCTCTTGCTCTCTCCCGCACAACCCACGACACCCCCAACCAGCAGCAGCAGCAGCAGCAGCAGCAGCAGCAGCAGCAGCAGGAGCAGGAGCAGCAGCAAGTATGTGTATTCTGCAGCAAGGAGCCTCTGCTGCCCTTCTGCAGCAGCAGCTGCCCCCACATATTTTGTTACTGGTGTGTTGCTTCTCACCCTCAATACCAACAGGGGCCCCGGGGGCCCCTCCGGGGGCCCCCCGATGCAGACAGAGAAGAACAGCTACGCTGCCCCAGCTGCGCTGCAGCTATTGGAAAGCTTGTGTGGGGGCGGTAATGCAGCAGCAGCAGCAGCAGCAGCAGCAACAGCAACAGCAGCAGCAGCAGCAACGGCAGCAGCAGGAGCGGCAACAGCAGCAGGAGCAGCAACAGCTGCAGGGGCAGCCACAGCAGCAGTAGCTGCTGCAGCAACAGCAGCAGCAACAGTACTAGTAGCAGCAGCAACAGCAGCAGCACTAGTAGGAGTAGCAGCGGCAGCAGCAGCACGAGTAGCAGCAACAGTAGCAACAGCAGCAATTGAAGCGAGGGAACTAAGAGACGTTCTCTCTCTTTTTTTCTTTCTTTCTCTGTCTATCTCTTTCTCTTTCTGTCTCTTTCTCTTTATCTCTCTCTCTCTTTCTCTGTCTCTCTCTCTCTTTCTCTGTCTATCTCTTTCTTTCTTTCTCTCTTTCTCTCTCTCTTTCTCTTTTTCTCTGTCTTTTTCTCTCTTTCTCTGTCTATCTCTTTCTCTTTTTCTCTTTTTCTTTCTTTCTTTCTCTTTCTCTCTATCTCTAGAGTGTGTGTGTTGTAGTGTCTATACAGTTGGTTATTATAATAAAGATTTGTTTATGGTATTTGCTGCTTTTCTGCTGCAGCAGCAATCCAAACAAATAAAAAAAAGAAATAACATTATACACAAAACAGAGGGGGTGGGGTTTTTCTTTGGGGTGTATACGCAGCTGTCTCCT